CTCACCTAAAAACTCGTGCACCAACTGTTGCTCGCTGTCGGACCTCAGGCTACCGGTGACGTCCTTATTGTTGACCACCGGGTAGAACAGCTGCACGAACTCCCCGGTGAAGGGAGGGGTGATTACGTCCAACACCTCGCAAACAAAGTAGCGAATCAACGACATGTCTGTCTCTCCCCTATCGATGCACTGCTTGATGTACGCGATCACCGGTACGACACACCCCCTGGACAGCAGGTGCACCATACGGTCCAACAGCATCTTTTTCACCTCCAACTGCGCCAATACCTCCAGTTCCTCTTGAGTCGACTCGAATATCGTCACGTATAGGTCCAGTACTTTCGGGTGAAGTGTGGTGTGGCATGTGGTCACCTGTAGGTGTGGAGTGAACAGGGATGCAAATAAAGTAGCAATTAGTATGTGTTTAGGTAATGAGTTTATTACAGTTATTGTAATCGTTTTAAGTCTCAGAGAGAGACCTTAACCCCCAAAACCCATATAAACCCCAAACACCGGCGAGACGGCACCCATACCTCATCCAAGAGCGCCAAATGGAGGGGCGTGTGCTCTGTACTCAACTGGAAGTACGTGCGCTCCGACACCACAGTCCGGACCCAGTGGCACATACCCAGCGCGCACACCGGGTACCGAATGCACTGAAACAGCGCCGACAGCTCCGGTAGCAATTCGGACGAACCCTTTTTCTCTGTACAGATAGCGCTGACCTTTTCGATCGCCTGTACCGTACCCTTCAGCTCGTCCTTATTCACGTGCTTTCGCGTCGACTTTTTCGCACCGGTATGCGACTCGTGTACAGCCGCCCCGTAGGCCAACAGGTAGATGTACTTAGGCTTGTGCTCCGGGTGCAGTTTGCACAGGGGTTTGAACAGGGAGTCCAGTAGGAGGTCCAGGAATTGGGGCACTCGTAGTAGTTCGACGGGCGGGGCGTCCGGTGCCTGATATGCTTTGTACAGCTGTTGGAGGGGAGAAAGGGATGTGGGAAATGGCGATTAGTTTTACAGGTACTACACGTTTGGCTACGAATACAATACATACGACTGTAATGTCGGCCGGATTTAAGGCGTTTTTGGCTAACATGGCGCTCAGGGCCTGACTGACCCGAGGGTGGGCGGAGGCGCCGTTGAGGGCCAGTAGGATAGGCGTGGCGTCGTGTCCGCTACAGAAAAGGGAGGCAAAAATAATCAGTGAAAACCAGACCAATTAATAAATCACTACTTTTTACGCTAAATTATTTATAACCAAAACATTGGTTTACAGTCTATTGTCATTAGCCAGTAATAGGCTTATAGTGTACTAAATCTGTGTTTAAATAGCAAATAATGTACAAACCGTTAGCGTAACCCTCATATAGTGTACATAAAACTACCACAAAATGTTTCAAACACTTGAATACTTTGTAAAAAATTTGGAAAGGGATGTAAAAAGATCGCTAGATGTGAACCAATTAATTAAATACATTGCTTTTAAAAACTACACTATTTATAACAAATTATTAGTTTACAGTCTATTATCGCTAACAAATAATCAGCTAATAGTCTACTAATTCTGAGTTTAAATCATAAGTAGTGCCCTAACTATGAGCCCAACTCTCACATAATGTACACAAAACTATCGCAAAATGTTTCAAACACTTGAATAGAAATTAAAGACTTTTTGTAAAAAATGAATTCATTTACAGTTTTTGTGCGAAATTCGAGATCTCTTGGGACAGGCGTTTAATGCCGGCGCCGCCCTTCGACTCCTGGGCCAACACGTTCATCATGGCCTGGCTGTAGAGGAACGTGTGCTCGCCATGGCATACCATTTTCTACCGGCGCCCACAAACAAGTTAACCATAAAATATAAAAATAAAACACAATTAATATCACAAAAAATAGGCATAAATTTAATAAAATAAATAAAATGATAATAAATATCACAATAATTGTTAGGAATTACATATAAATTCATATAAAATAATAGAAATAGAAATATAAATATAAACTCCAAAAACAGTACAAAATTATGAATCAATTAATTTTAAATAAAATTCAAACAAAAAGTACAGTTCCTCTCACAATAGCTACAAATGTCTAAAATCGCTACAAATAACCATAATTTGTGCGAAAGTTATCATAGATTTGTAATAAATATCATAATAATTGCTATTAAATCTTAAAATCAATTCAAAACCCACAAAAAACAACTACCGTTCCCTTCAAAACAGTCACAACTGTCTAATACTAACCGTGAATTCACTGGTACTGGTGTCCAGTGTCTCCTCTCCCCTCTCCAAGAAGTTATTGATCGATGTCTTGAGTATACGTGAGAACACTTCCAGCTGTTGACTCGCCGTCGATATACTGGTGATCTCGCCCTGAAAACCGGCGTCCGATATGAGCTACCGGTGCCACACAAACCAATCAATTAAAAACTACTTAAAACAGGTGTAGTTCCCTTTCAACACACATACCTTAACGGTGAACGTAAGCATAAGACAGTCGGGATAGTCTTCGGCCAACTTATAGATCAATGAGCGCCACGTCTGGTGCTCTATCATCTCCGTCAGCCACGCGGGTGTCTATACCACAACACACATACCTTAACGGTGAACGTAAGCATAAGACAGTCGGGATAGTCTTCGGCCAACTTATAGATCAATGAGCGCCACGTCTGGTGCTCTATCATCTCCGTCAGCCACGCGGGTGTCTATACCATAGAGCACCGGGAGGTCAGTCAATAGGGTATACGAGTAATTGGTAGCCAATGATAGTATAAAATACAGTTAGAAATTAGATTTAATTAATAAATGATTTTAAACTAAATGTTTGTGTTATTTGTGGGACTAATAGCTAAGGAATGGGATGTAAGGGAACGGCTATCAATAGGGGAACGGGAGGTACACCAATGGTTATACCACTGCTCGACAGGTAATAATAGTGTGGAAAACCATTAAATGTAAAAACTAATGAATAAATCGCTAAAAACTCAGTGTTTATGTTATATGAGTGTAAAGTATAACAGTCGGGGAATGGGGTGTAAGGGACAGGTATGTGATACATACGCCGGTAGTCTCGTCCGAGAATATGGAGTCGGCTTTCTTGGGGTCAAAGTGTTTGATAATCAACTGTTTTAAGTGGTCCTCAACGAGGGACTGGACTTCCGATATCTTCAGATCTGTGTATTAGATACCAAACTAATGGTTAAAACCACGGGAACTACACCTCAACCAAAAGCATACCATACCTGTCATTATGAGCCACTCGGCCAATAGGTTAGCCGTCTGTGCGATCGCGTGATAGTTGGTGGACAACAACTCCACCACCTGTTCCGGGTTACCACCCGCTTGGAAATACCTGTACAGCACCGGTAGGTATGAGAGAAAGCATACAAATTAGTGGCGATATGTTTGTAGGTATTGGTGCAGTGGGTTAGGGCGGGAGGGCTGCTAATGTCAGGGTATTTTGTGTGTTAACTAATTAATGGTCTCAATTGTGGTGTAATTAGTGGTAGTAATAGTGGGAACGGGAGGGAAAGGTATCACAAAAATAAGTGACAATTAATAGTAAATGATTTAATGAGTGCGAGAGAGAGAGAGAGAGACCACTAAACACTACTACCACTACCAAACACACTATGAGTGCGAGTGGGGGGGTCAGTGGGACAGAGGGGGTCGGGATGTCTGTCCCAAACACGACATACCGGCCCAACGACGAGACGATTCCCGGTTCCATAATATAGTCTTCGCCGGCGAACGCCTCCAGACAGTCGTCCAGTATTTGCTGCTTATTGTCAACATCCGGGTCGTCCACCTAACACCACACACACGGGAGGGGAAAGGGATGTAAAACACAAACACATTACTACACTATTAATAGGCATCTATAGGGAGGGGGCAGTGATAGCCCCCTCGGAAACCCCTTTCCCATAGAGAAAGCATTGCACACCTCCTCGATGTCCGTCATATCGTCGTCCTCTGGGGGCTCATCCGCCTCCCTGTCCACCGGGGGCTCATCGACCACATCCCTGGCCTCCTCCCACGTGTCCTCCTCGTCCTCAGTGTCCGAATCCATACGTATTTGTAATTAAATTAAAAGTTTTTTTAATTAAAAGCTAATTAAAAGTCCGGAAAAAAGTTTTTGTTTTGTGTTTTCAGTTGTGTTTTGAATGTGTGTAAGTGCGCTGTTCATAAATTACGTGCCGTTTGTGAGAGTTTTGGGTGTTTTTTGAGCCCCTGTGCTGGTGATTGAGCTGGGTTATAGTTTTAATTTAGTATATTTCAGGTTTATTTGTGTCCAGATTAGTTTAGCTGGGTGTTAGTTAATGTAATATATGATTATTGATGGTTTATGCATAAGTATAGTGCATACGAGGGGTAAGTTATAAATGTTAACAATCTTAAGTTTGCTATCATATATAATTTAAGTTTATAATTTTTATCAAGCTAGTTTTATGTTTTATAGTTTATAATTTAGTATTTTATCAGGTATTTTTTGGCTAATTTAATTCAGAATTCACGATTTTAAAAAGTAATAAGGGAATAATAAGGCAACAATTTCAAATATAATAAAATTACAAAAAAAAACTATAATACATTTGAAAGTTTAATATTATATAAAACAATAAAAACTGTATAGAGTGGACCAGGCTCAATATCAATAATACAAAAGGTATAATACATTTTAATCTTGTTCATTTACATTGTTTTGCTGTAAGTTTTGACATTTTTATTATGTTGTATATTTGTTGCTTAATTATATTAATACTGTATTTTATAAATTTTATTTTATTTGAATAATTGTTATGATAGACTGCTAAAAATTAATCATGGTTATTGACACTGCATAATTTAGTAAGTTTATAATTGAAAGAATAATCAATTTAAGTGTGAAAATTAAAGTTACAGTTTTGATGCAATTATTAAATAAACATTTTAATAAATAAATTTATAATTAAAACACATAATTTTATAAATATATCAAAAATATTGTCTGGAAAATTATTAAAAATAACTAAGCAAACTAACCATGAACATAATAACTAAATTAAAATGTTAAAATACAGTATATCCGAGATTAATCTGTATTTTTGGTAAAATATCATTAATTACCTTGACTATATTTTATACGGAAACCAAATGTTTTTTGCTAATGATTTTCAAATTGGCAATGTTTTGTAAATAAAATTTTATAACATTCTTAAAATATTTTTGTATCTACTTTAATTTATTAACTAACAATTATGTATAATTTATTTTATTTAATAAAAAGTTTTAAAGTGTGTTAAAGAGTAAGCAGGGTTAAATGCAATGTTAACAAAGTTTACAGTTTGCAAATACAGTAATATTTTATTAGCATTATTAAATAATAGAAATTTTGCATAAATGACATCAATTAGAAAATATTTTAAAAATAAAAGTTATGCTAATGATTAGAAAAAGTAAAATAAAACTAAAGAATTTCACATAATTAGCAATGTTAATTAACATTTAGCAAATTTATTTAATAATATTTATACATACAAACTTTTAATTTATAAATACATATTTAATAAACAATAAATTTTTGGAAAATTTAACTTCCATGCTATCTTGGTCCAATTTGAGTTATAGCTTGATAAATATTATTAATATAATAAAATTAATATTTTAAGTTTTGTTACAGTTTATAGAAACATATATTTTAATATTTTAATTCTCTCTCTCTCTCTCTCTCTCTCTCTCTCTCTCTCTCTTTCACTCACTCACTCACTCAAAATATTTCACAACTATTGTACAGAAAATTAATTTATACAAATAATTATTTATTATAACAAGCATATTTCCAAGTTTTTATTCGAAATTCAATGTAAAATTAAAATATAACCAGTTATAGCAACCTAAATTTATTACATTATAAAAACTTAAGTTTTTGTTTTTCAAAATTCCTAACGTATTTCATGTACGGTATAAACAAAACGACCTTGCCATACAGTATATCCCGCTTATACATGTGCAACATACCTTGCTTATTTATATTTATAATAATCTTCAATCATTAAAACAAATTGATACAACTAACACTGTATTTTAGAATATAAAATAATTAACCTGGAACAATCTTTAAAAAGTAATATAAAACATTAAAAATATATAACTAGTCACTACAGCTAATCACATAAAATATTGAACCATGTTACCCACGTTATAAAATAACCCTATCTAATATCTATCATGTACATATTGCATACACAAAAATTACCAAGCATTTCCGGTTTGAACAAGATCAACTAATAAACACATTAAACCCCACATAAAATACAAATATTAGCCTGATAAGTCACGAAACTGGGAGTGCCTGGTAGTTACACTGTACATAATAAATACTGAGCATGTATACATTAAATTCAAAATGACTCATTGCCCAGACATTTGAAATGCTATACTACATAGTGAGATAAAACTATGTCAGTGTTTACTAACTGTCCATTCAATACACTGTACATAATAAATACTGAGCATGTATACATTAAATTCAAAATGACTCATTGCCCAGACATTTGAAATGCTATACTACATAGTGAGATAAAACTATGTCAGTGTTTACTAACTGTCCATTCATTACAATGAAATACTAAGAAAAAGGGGTCGACACCAGTAAGGAATGCCAGTCTCTTCCCGGGGGGAACAGTAGTAATATTCCACTGATTCCTATGATTTAACTAAACGGAAAGGGATTTCCCCCGAAAAATCTGAGCCCAGTGTTTAAAAATGTGTGCAACGTTTTTGGCAGCGTAAACATACCACACAATAGTCATTGCCAATTAGAAATTATTTATTAAAAATTATTGTAACAAGTTGGCTTTGAAATAAAAGTTTCTTTTCTTTGTATTCAAATAGTTTTGTTTTTGTTGTTTTATTACGTATTAACACTACTCTACGTCTACACTACGAAACTATTTAATATTTTTTTGTGTGATTATAAATACTCATTCATAAATATCCATTATAAATATACTCACAATTTATTGTGTATACCTCATTTACCAAATAGTTTTATCCGTACACGTATACAAGTTTCTATTATAATAACAACTCCCTCAAATACTTTTTATTTGGTAAGCGTTTTATCATTATTTATTATTATCTAGGTATTATAAATATAAGCTAACTTGTAAAAAAAGTTTAATAATGCATGCACATGATAGCTGTCTACTAATAGTGCTAGATAACTAACTAGCACTACATTATAAATTAATCGTGGTTTATGGTTAACCCACTTATAGTTTTAATTAACTACTGTAGTCTTAATATTTTACATTGAAATAATGAACATGGTATTTATAATGAATAGCGTAATACACCGATACCCTACCTAGCCCTAGCTGTCTAGACATTTCCCGCCATAAATAGCCAAGTATAAATTACAGACATAATAACAATTGACTACATTGAAAATAAAGGATCCTGTCCACTTACAATCATATTTATTAAAATATTTCTCAATTAATATTACACTAAATATAATTTATATTACTTTATATCGCATTATAAACATTACTACAGTTTCGTATTATAAGTGTATAATAATTTTCATGCAATTTATAGATAAGTGGCTATAATTTAGTAAAAGTATTATATTATAATAAAGTAAAAGTGAAATTTCCCGTTTGTATAATACACGTACACTGCATGAATTGGCAATTATATTTAAACATGGTAATACCGTGCCAAAAATGCATAGTACGCGTAAACATTTCCTTATAAACTTAACAAGGAAGTTAAATATTTGTGTAATAAATAAGTTTTATAAATAACTTTTACACACTTTAATGCAAAAGTAACTTTAATACAAACTAACACAAACTCTACCACCTACAAAACTGAGCAAGCTATTAAATATGTGAACTTATTATCACGTAACTTATCAGGTATATTAAGTATGAGGTATTTATTTATTTATTTATTTACAGATACCGTATATTTTCAGTAAACTTTTGAAGTTTTATTATTATTTATAATCATAACTCTCTCTCTCTCTCTCTCTCTCTCTCACACACACACACACACACAAACACACACATACACTCACTCACTCTCACCCTCTCAACAAATATTCACAATAAGTAATTAAAATGTATTGGCAATGATTTGACAAAAAATCAGTTACAAGAATAACAATAAAAACTTTATATAAA